CTAAATATTGATTCTCCTAAACTGCTTAGCAACTGATTGGAGCTTGATTTCATTAGGAATTGATTACCTGCTTTGTTGACACTTATACAGGCAAACATGTTGGAACAACTTATTTTTGAGTTGGAGCATTCAATTAGGACCGCCGGCAGATACCTTGATAGGTAGTATATGCTTTAAACCCTTGTGTAATATTTTAGTAAGTCTTAAAAGCAAAATAATGTTTAGATTTACTACTTTTTGAGGTAATATAGACTTTCAGCCCTTATGTGATATTCTAGTAAGTCTTAACAGTGTCCAAATGTTTAGATATTGGGTATGGTCTGATTGCATGTTTATCTTTTTACTGCTTATTGTTTGGTGAAGTCCTCAGTCATTTATGTGTTGTTTATCTATTAAACAAGTACATAATGGTTGTCCCATATGGTTGCATGTGAAGTTTCCTATGTTTTTGTTTGTATGCTAATACACAAGCACGCATTTGGTATTATGCTGAGTTATTTCTTGCTTGTGTTTCATATTGAGTGCAGGACAGTGAAAGAGCCCCCTTCAACACTTTTATGGATTTTATTCTTTTTGGCTTAGGTGGGTAACCATCAGGTTTCCTCACCCCATGGGCCATGGCCTTTTCTTCTTTTCTTGCTATAAATGTTTGGTGCTTTCTTTGCATTTGAGTAACTTTGAATTTATTGATGCAGCATTATGACAGAAGAGGACAATATGACGTTGCTCTTTCAAAAATTAATGAGGCCATAGAGCACACACCAACTGTAATTGATTTATACTCTGTCAAGGTTTGTTCTCGTCTTCAATCTTCAAATTTTTGCAATGGCTTCATCTGCTGGGTTTTATATTTTTGTCAGCTGGATTCTTTCTTTTATTTTTTTCTTATATTTTGAATTATTTTTGCCTGGTTTGTCTCGCATCTCACAAGGCATAGCATTACCTGAAAATCTTTCTAGATATTGCCCTGGAGTTGTCGTTCACTTGTAGGAGACTTATCACTTTCTATGATACTGACCTTGATTGAATATATTATTTTGCACTAAATTGTGCAAAGTTGATATGCATTCATTTAAAATGCATACTAGTTTTTCCTTGTGGACCTTAAGTCTTGATGGGCATTGGGCAGGCATATGACCTCCTTTCTTAGGTTTTGGGGTTTTTGGTAGATGGCTATTGTTTCTTGATGAACCTTTTTACTATCTTTTGGAGAAGTTCTTGGAATTTTCTTGAAGCTGTGTCTATGTGTATATTATTTACTTTTCTTTGGTGACAGAGTCGGATACTGAAACATGCTGGTGATTTGGTAGCTGTGGCTTCATTGACAGATGAAGCTAGGTGTATGGATCTTGCAGATCGCTATATAAACAGTGAATCTGTGAAGCGAATGTTGCAGGCTGATAGGTTCTAAAGCTCCCCCCTTCATCTTTTGTCATAGTTAATAAAAAAGGACATTTTTTTAATTTTTTTTTACAATTTCAAAATCTCAAGACTTCTTTTTTTGTGTACTTTTTTTGTTTTTGTTTATATTTTGTATTAACTTTTTATTTTATCTTTTATCTTTGATTTTGTGTCTTTTTTTTATATTTGTTATATATTTTTTATTTTTCTTTGCATATTCTAAACTAAAATTTTTTTCTATTTTACATTTGAATTTTTTCTTCATTTTGTCTTTTATATTTTTTATTAGCTAATTTTTATTTTTTTCCCTTTTTAATTTTTTGTTTTTGTTTTTATTTCTTTTACTATTTTATTTTATTTTTTCATTATTTTTATTTTTATTTTATAAAGTTAAAAATTTTTTATTTTTTGAATCTTTTTTATTTTGTCTTTTTATTTTGCTATTTTTTGTTCTATTTTATAATTTTTCAAAAAAATTTTTGCTTCAAAATTTTCTTTCTTTTTGCTTTTTTCTTTTCACATGCTTTCATTTTTATTTGTTTTCATTATTTCATTGTTTTAATATTTTTTACTTTCTTGTTTTCTTTTTTATTTCAAAATTTGTCTTTTCATTTTTATTCTATTCTTGCTTCTTTTTTTTTTTGCATTTGTAAATTCTCATACTTTTTTTTTCAATTTCTCCCTTTGTTTTCATTTTTATTTTGCAATAACTCTTTTTTTTTTAATTTTTTATCTTTGACTTTTTATATTGTTTTCTTGTTATTTCTTATATGTTTTTCAATTTTTTGTATTTTTAAAATTAATTTTTTTATTGTCATTCTTTTTCATTTTTTAAATCTTTATTCAATTTTTGTATTTTTGATTAATTATTTTTTATTTTTTTATTTTTTTATTTTTTATTGTATTTTGGTTTATTTTTATTTTTTTCTTTCTTATTGGTATTGATTTTTTTTTCTTTTTTTTTTACTTTGTTTATCTTTTTTGTTTGACTTTAATATTCTTTTCTTATTTTTTTTTATTTTTTTTATTTTGGTTTATTTTTTATTTCTTTCTTTATTTAAATTTTCATAAATTTTAAGAATGTTTTGGATTTTTTATTTTTCATAAATCTTTTGTCTTTTCATTTTTATTCTTTTTTTAATTTTTTCACGAATTTTTTTTTATTTCTTATTTTCATTTTTAAATTCTTATAGGTTTTTTTGTCGCATTTTCTTTGGTTTTCATTTTTATTTTGCATTACCTTTTTTTTAATTTTTGTCTTTGATTTTTTATATTATTTTCTTATTATTTCTTATATGTTCTTTTATTTTTTGTATTTTTTAAAATATTTTTTCTATTTTGTCATTTCATTTCATTTTTGAAATTTTTATTCAATTTTTATCTTTTTTTATTTTTTATTTTCTTACTTTTTATATTTTTTTGTATTTTTGTTTATTTTATATTTTATATTTTTTTGTATTTTATTTATCTTTTTTGTTTTGCTTTAATTTTTTTCTTATTTTATTTATATTTATATTTTTCATTTGGTTTATTTTTTATTTCTTTCTTTATTTATATTTTCATAAATTTTTATAATGTTTTGGATTGTTTTATTTTTTTATCTTTATTTCTTTTTTTATTTATGGTTGTTGATTATTTTTTACTGTATTTTTATAATTTTTCATCAATTCTTTTTCCTTTTAAAATTTTTTTTTACATATATTTTTTTTGTTCACTTTTTTCTTTGTTTTAAAAATTTCTATAAAACTTTTTTTCTTTTTATTTTATTTCATATTTTTGCCTTTTTATTTTTTATTTTTTCTTGTTTTTCTAATTTTTTTTCAAAAAATTCTTTTTATTTCTTGTTCTCATTTTTTTTTTTACACTTGTTTTGTTTTTATTTTTATTTTGTTTTAACTTTTCCTTTTGTTAATTTTTGTATCTTTGATTTTTTTTTATTTTTTTCTTATTACATTATTTTTGTTTGCATTTTTTAAATTAAATTTTTTTTTACTTTGTCATCCCTTTTCATTTTTGAACTTTTTTAATTTTTTATCTTTCATTTTTTATATCTTTATATCTTATTATTTGTTATATATATATATATATATATATATATATATATATTTATAAAATACCTTCTTTCTTGTCTTCATTATATTATTCTTTCACTACGTATTTTCTTTTTTACTTTGATTTTTTTGCTGCTCCAATCTAATTAGTCATTTACATTATTTTTTATTATTTTTTCTTTTTGTACTTTTTTTTACCTTTTATCTTTATTTTTTCATTTTTTATTTTTTCTTAAGGTTTTTCTTCTTTTTATTTTTGGGTTTTTTGGCATTTCTTTTTAATTTGTGTTTTTTATCCACACTTTTTTCTTTTCTTATTTGCGTTTTTAAATTCTCATACTTTTTTTTTGCATTTTCCTCTTTGCTTTTCATTTTTATTTTGCATTAACTTTTTTCTTTTTTAGCTTTTTATCTTTGATTTTTTATATTGTTTTTTTATTATTTCTTATATGTTTTTCAATTTTTTTGTATTTTTTAAACTAATTTTTTTCATTTGTCATTTTCTTTTTTTTTTATTCAATTTGCCTTTTTTTATTTTTTATTTTTGATTATTATTTTTTATTTTCTTACTTTTTATATTTTATATTTTCTTATTGGTATTGATTTTTTCTTTTTTTGTACTTTATTTATCTTTTTTCTTATTTTATTTTTATTTTTTATTTTGGTTTATTTTTTATTTCTGTTTTATTTATATTTTCATAAATTTTGATAATGTTTTGGATTTTTTTTCTTTTTTTTCTTTATCATTGTTGGATATTTTCTATTGCATTTTTTTTCTTTTTCTTTACGTATTTTTTCACGTGCTTTAATATTTTTTGGGATTGCACTTTTTTCTTTGTTTTAAAATTTTGTATAAACTTTTTTTTTGTTTTATTTCATATTTATGCCTTTTCATTTTTTTTCTTGTTTTTCTAATTTTGTTCAGAAATTTCTTTCAATTTCTTGTTACCATTTTTTTTTGCACTTCCTTGTTTTAATTTTTTTTAATTTTGTATTAAAATTTTTTCTTTGTTAATTCTTTTATTTTTTATTTTTTTCTTATTATTTTTTTTCTACTTTGTCATCCATTTTCATTTTTTATATTTTCTTCTTGGATTTTTTATATCTTTATTTCTTATTATTTGTTTTATTTTTTATTTTTCCTTGTATTTTATAAACTAATTTTTTCCTATTTTGTCATTTTTTCTTTATTTTTGAAAATTTTTTTTGTTTTTGTATTTTTTTTAATTTTTTCTTTTGACTCGTTATATTTTCATTTCTTTACTTTCTTATTTTTTCTATTTTGTGCTTTTGTTTATTTTTATTTTTTTTCCTTTTTTAATACTTATTTTATCTTTTTCCTTTTGTTTTAATTTTTTTTTAAATTTATTTTCTTTTTATTTTTTATTTTTGTTATTTTTTTTATAAAAATTTTATAATGTTATAGATATTAAAACATTGTTGATGAGACTTTAACTTCATTAGAAATGGAAGGTGTTATGTGCATCTATACAAATTCTAATTAACATCATCTTGTATTTTATCTTGAAAATTATTTTTATTTATCATGTAATTTATCTAATTAACAAAATTATCTTGTATAATATTTAATACAATTTCAATTATTTTATTTACTATTTTGGATTGTATAATATTTATCTTTTATTTAATATAATTTGTTAAGAGATAATAATTATCTTTATTATTTTCTTTTGAAATTTTATTGGTTTATATATAATTTGAATTATTTTATTTATTACTTATTATTTTATTTATTATTTTGGATTGTATAATATTTATCTTTTTTTTATTACAATTTGTTAAGTGATAATAATTATTGTTGTTATTTTCTTTTGGATTGTTATTGGCTTATATATAATAACACTAGTTTGGAATTGTTATATCTATCACTATTTACTTCATGTACATATATTTTTACATTTTTAACGATTTAAATCAATAAATTCAAATTAAAATATTTTGCATCTAAACTTTCAAATTCAAGTTAAGTTTTAAAACATAAATTAAAGATTGAACTTTGTAGAATTTTTTTTATTTCATTATTTACTTTCTCTTTCTTTTTCTTTTCCTTTTTTTTAGCTTTTTGATTTTTTTTTTTACTTTTTATGCATTTTTATAATTTTTTATTTTTTTGTTATTTAGTAAATTTTTCTTTTTTTCATTTTCATTCCTTTTTTTTTCTATAAAATACTTTCTTTCTTGTTTTCATTCTATTACTCTTTCGTTATATATTTTCTTTTTTACTTTGATTTTTTTTCTTACTTCAATATAATTGGTCATTTACATTATCTTCTATTAGTTTTTTTCTTTTTTTTTTTTGCATTTCTTTCTACTTTGTGTTTTTTTTTCACATTTCCTTCTTTAGTTTTTATTTTTATTTTGTTTTAACCTTCTCTTCTTTTAATTTCTTATCTTTTATTTTTTATATCTTATTATTTGTTATATATATATATATTTTTTTGTATTTTGTAATCTAAATTTTTTTCTAGTTTGTCATTTTTTTCATTTTTATTAGTTTTTGTATTTTTTTTAAAAAATTTTGACTCATTTTTTCTTTTTCTTACTTCTTTATTTTTTTATTTTGTGTTTTTTTATTTTTTATTACTTATTTTATCTTTTATCTTTTGCTTTAATACTTTCTCTTATTTTTTTTCTTTTAATTTTTGTTATTTTTTACAAAATTTTTTTATATTTTAATCTTTTTTTCTTCTGATTTGTCTCATTTTTGTTGTTATTTTTTATTTTTTGGGTATTTTCTATTCAATTTTTGTAATTCATTAGTAATTCTTTTTTTCTTTTTCTTTTAACTTATTTGTTCATTTGCTTTTCTTTTTTTTTGTATATTTTGTATTTTATTTTTTTCTTGCTTTTACTTATACCTTTTTGTTCACATTTTTTTTATTTCTTCTTTACAATTTCAAAATCTCTAGACTTTTCTTTTTTGGTACTTCTTTTTGCTTTTATTTATATTTTGTATTGACTTTTTATTTTATTTTTTTATCTTTGATTATTTTTCCTTTTTTTATATTTGCTATCCTTTTTTTTTTCTTTGTAT